GAGAGAGAGGGGAGGGGGAGAGAGTACATTGAGAGACACAGACAGAGAGACAGACAGAGAGACAGGCAGAGAGACAGATACAGAGAGCAAGAAAGGAATTTGAGAGGCACTAACTTCATGTCCTGTTCAGACAAAAAAAGTAGTTCAGAACAATCTTATTATGCCACTTTCTTTTTTCAGGGGATTCAAGAAGAAAAATGTCGAACTCCAGTCCATGCCTCCAGAAGGCACAGTTGTAGACGGAGATGCCAAGGACACAAGAAAAGAGGCAACCGGTGAAAATGAAAAAGATGTGGATGGGAGTGATGTGGAAGTAAACTTGGAAAATATGGAGTTGAAACGAGAACTCGGTCTTGTCGGCGGCATTTCCTTCATTGTGGGATGTATTGTGGGTAAGTACATGTATAGATCTTTTGCTTGTTTGGTGGTGTTTTCTTCGTTCTTTTTCGTTGTTTTTGTTGTTTTTGTTGTTGTTGTTTTTTGTTGACGGTGGTGTTGTTGTTTTTTTTAATGAAAGGTTTTTCTGTTTAACAGCTCTTTGGACAGTTATCTTCAGAATAATATCGTGTGGTAGTGGTAATACATTACAGACTTCAACTTAAGCTAAGGACCACCTTGACAGACAGCACTGATTTCTAAAAAATCCGAAAAAGGACAGCAAGGAATGTTTCAAACTTAATGCGTACTGCAAAGTTTCCTAAAGGAGCAAAACCACCACGTGTAGCACGGAAATCCTCGGGGAATTTTTGCAAAATTTGCTGTTTTTCATCGACTTGTGTGCGACACCAAGGACATTTCTTAGTTAACATTTCTGGTGCATGTCATAAACGACGAACAGTGCTCACTTCGGTGGCTACATAAGCCGCCTTTTGCGCAAAATCCAGTATCCCATCAACATGCCACCAAGACGAAAGCTGGGAGACTTTGATCGTGCCAGAGCTATGGCATGGCTGCAGGATGGAGTTGGAGCCCGAGAAGTTTCCAGAAGGCTTGCAGTGTTACACTCTGTCATTGTCCGCCTGAGGCAGCGCCATCAAGCAACTGGATAAGTCCAAGAACGCCCACGTGCAGGTCGACCCAAGAAGACCACTCAAAGTGTTTGCAAGTGGTCCTTAACTTATGCTGAAGTCTGTATTTAAAATACTCCACATTGTATTTAAATCGTTGTTAAACATTTGAAAAGTGTCCCCATGGTAACTGCTACTCTCAAATTCTCCCCCTAAATATTCGGAAAAAATATATTCTTCATGATGTAAACCTTTAACTTGCAAATTATATCAGTTTCTAGACAAACAACAAGTTCACCCCCTTAAAGTTGTCACAAGGGTGAAGTTTCGTAAAAAAAAATTTTAAAAAGACAGAGAGTGCTACGGAGGGGGAGGCGAAGATTTGAGTCGTTTCATACACGTTCAGATTTTGTAGGTCTTTGGAACGACTCTATCAAACTTTTAGACACGTTTTTAGAATTGTGCTTTGGCTTTTTGCAAACGTTGTTGTTCTTTGCTGCTCAAAGTGTCATTTTTTAGTTTAATCTTTTGTTTTGGGCGGGGCGTGCATATTTCTCTTTCACCTGATGAAACCTGAATTCAGAAACCACCATCTTTGTAAATTATTTACTGCGAGTTTGATTTTAGACCATCGGGCTTTGGCCATGGCTTTGACATCATGGACTAGCCTACAGCTTTTTAAATCAATTGAGAATCATTTAAAGAAAATCAGCTGCAATGAATACCAGACCATATGCTTTTACGGCTTGACCCTGCAAGATAATTTTTTTTCAACCAAAACCACAAACTTTCTAGTTCAAGTCTAACTACATTGTATTTTAGTCTCTATATAACAGAAAACGCAACTTACTGTGTTCCTCTATGGGGCTGGAGGGGAAATGGTGTGACATATTTAATAACGGGGGGAACCCAAAGATAAATTTATCGTTCTCGAAAGTTTGATTTGACCTGATGCAGACACCGAAGCATGCTTTGTGTATATCTCTAAACGTATACACCAGCAGGCTAACCAGCACGACCAGCTTTAACAGTACAAATATAACAATGATAAAAGTTACAAAGTAGCAGCAAAAACACAAGTACAGCCGTAATGACAATAGTCCGATCCTCAGGTGAAAAAGCTTGTTTTGCGTTATAAAGTTTTCTTCTTTGGTGATTCTAACTGAGTTTTCATTGCTGATTTCAAATCCAATGTTGTTAAATGCTTAACTTTCGCCATTTTGTCTAAAAGTGAAAATCCAAGATGGCCGCCATAGAATTTCGAGTGAAAGATGTTGTGAGCATTTAAAGACATAAAAATGTACAGACTTAATTAAACAGCATGCAGTGTAACAAAAGTAAACCACACTTGATGAACAATTGATGAAATACACATCAAATGTTCGATAAAATGACTTCAAAGAAAACAAGGTTGATGGCCGTCTAGTTTTCCTAAAAGTGCTGATCCGCAATACTCTTGAAACCGTCGTATTAAAATCATTTAATTAAATTGTTTAACATGCAGAAAGCACGGGGACACTCGCCAGTGTCTGCTGCTAGTTCTCACATAACGAGAGCCTAACCACTAGGCCACCGACGCCATGTATCCTCACAGTCATAGGGGGGGGGGAGCAATGGCAGTCATTGCTGGCAATTCTTCCTCTGCATTTGCAAAATGTTGTACACGTGACAGACGTTTTGGTGCAAGTGATCTGTGCTGTGCTGCATCAAGTTTTACAACTGCAACTGACCAGATTGAGAACTTCATCAGGAGCTGGCAGCTGAGCATCAAGTCCAAGGGCTGGACGGAGTGTTGGCTGGTGTTACTGCAATCCATACTCAACGGGATCCAGCTCAGAAGGAGATGGCTCCCCTGCCATTTGCCACAGCACAGCCTGAAAGTGTGCTCGTTTGATGTGTTCCTGAAAACTTGCCACTGTTGGAGGAAGGCTACTCAGTTTTGGGGGAATGTGTTCCTTTCCAGCAGTCCTTTTCCTGAAAATGCTAGCTCAAACTGAGTTCAGATTGTCCCCAGACTCGTCCCCATAGAGCAGATTAGTGAACTGAAGGCATGACTGGGAGATTTCCTGGAAAGATACAGACATCTTCCCAAGCTTCAGTTCATCGGAGAATACTTCAAGCTTCTTGAGAACTGTCATCTTTCCAGTTCCAGAAAAGGAAAAAAACTGTGTCACAATCAGTCAGAGCATGAGCTGCCAGCAGATTTGGCATTATGATTGCATACTGTCTGATAATGTCGTTGACACTTATGACATTATGTGTGCCGGATGTGCACGACTCAATGGACAGAGTCATATTTTGGGACATTTCTTTGGTCCTGATGTAGAGATAATTGGCCATGATGACGAGAACATCGGTGTCATCAGAAATAACCGTGATGTTCCTCTGTCCTAATGACGATTCGTTGATGACATGAAACGCCATCCGCACATCAGCTTCTTCATGATACAGAGGGTCTTGCTGAATTCCAGACAACATGTGTATAGGGCGTGAGAGTCATCATTCTTGCATGATACGGGTTGGTGTATTTCATCAAACAGAAAAAAATAATCCCATAAGATACACCTTGGCCCCCGACTGATATGAAGTCAAGAGACCCCAAAAGAACCAGAATCACCAAAGAAAAAAACCTTATGATAAAAAGCAACGTTCTAATACTTGAACATAGACCCGGCTCTCGGACTGCAACACCTTGACAGTCTCCTGCATTGTGGTGAACAAATAAAAGACATGTCGGACGGTGAGATGGGGAGAAGAAAAGTGGGAGGACTGAGGGGGGATGTTGATGTTCCCAAGGCTGAATTGACAACTAGCCCTTTTTCAGGATTATTTTTAGCACGGGTGTATCTTTCTGTACTTGTTACAGGTTACCTTCCTCGGGGCAGTGACCTGAGTTGGGCATACACATTTTTGTACTGGATTTTTCTGAGGAACATGTTTGCATTTTGCCGTTTTTGTGTGAAAGAAGACATCTTATTCACACCCCGTGAATGTATCAGAAGGACTCCTTTAACAAAGAAACGCAAGAGCAATCCTCTTATCACAGCAAAGTTCTTTTTTTTTTCATTCGTGGCGTCGTATTTTTTATTTAAACTTAAGCTCAACAAGATCTGATTTGTAATAAATTATTCGTTTAAAAAATAATGTGTTGAGGTTCCGTGCCCAACGAGACATATAAATAATTGATGGTCAAGGTCATTTAGAAAGAAATGGGCGGTTTGTTGGGGTTTGTTTTGGTTTATAAGTGGGGG